TTTTTTAAGTTCAAATTCAACTTTGTATTGTTCAAGTACAACCTCTTCACCAGCATATGTACAAGTCAATTCCCACAAAGGACTATGAGAAAATGTCCCATTAGCAAGCAGTGTAATTGTTTACAAAAGACTTCAAACACAGGAGCCTCAGCTGGGGTTACAGATCTTTCAGCAGAATTTCACCTGCATTTATTACGTGAACATCAGCTAAGCCCCGTTTCCTCTGGGCCTGCACCACTGATACCGTTGAACAGGCAGTGAAGACAAACCTGTGTCTACCCAAAGGAATATCATGGGCCTGAGATAATTGTTCTTCAAAGAACATACTGAATTTGGCTTTGGGTGTTGTTACACCTACAAACAAATACAGTATGTTAACAAGGCTAAACATCTCTCTCTCATGCTGTATCTTAAGTGTTTTTACATTTTTGTTTGTTTTTAAGAGTAGAATATATTTCCACATTTTTCTTGGACTTGGTACTAACTGCCACATACACTCATAGGAGTAAAAGTGAAAACTTGCCACCAATGACAAATGACTAGTCAAGAACTGAGTGCCTTAAAATCATAACCAAATGGAACATAAAAACTTATGAAAGACTCAAAAAGAACCACAAAGTTATGTAATCCACTGAAAATTATCTAGTTCAAATATATTTGATAGTACAGAAGAATATTCCCTTGAATGAATGTCAAAGGTAACAAAATACAGAAATTTGGAAAACGGGGTCCATATTTTTACAAATCATTACATTGTTCACTTAGCTCATCTGATTATTTTCAATTTTCCTCTGTTGCAAACTGAGAAGTAAATGAGATTCTAATAACCAATTTTCATTTCATCAAAGCATTTTCATTTACTGTTTTATTGCACTATCTGATTAGACATTGATTCTGGCACAGTGGTATGTAGTAGACACCCTGTCGAGTTGATTATACACTGATTACAGTTGATACTAATATTTTAATATTAGCAACTAGGTCAAAGAACACATCTATAAAATCCTTTATCACGTAAAAATGGAAAGTTCTAACTAATGAAAACAACATTTAGGAGTTCTATGCTTTATCAATATATACTACTATTTCCCTGTTCTTAAGTCTTTTACAGGCTTGTTTCTATAGTGAGATAGCTATTTGAGTTAGTGGAAAAACAATCAAACACACATAAGAAAAGACAGCTTTGAGTCCTGGTTTGATCACAACGCGCATATAACATCTGGCGAGTCATTCAACCTGCCAGGCTCTCAACCTCTTCATCTGTAAAACCAAGGGCTAAATCCACTTCCAAGTTCCTTTCTGTACTAAGATTCAAGGACTCTCTAAAAGAGTTCTGTACCTCCTAGCAGACTAAATTCCCTGAGAGCCAGGATGATTTCCTACACTTTCTGCCCCAAAAGAATCTTCTTCCGTATCTACACTAGGAAAAGCAGCTTGAGAACTTCACCTTAATCCTCGTAGCCAGCAGGTCGGTGCAGTCATCAAAGCGAATGCAGTAGCCCACCTCGTGGCCCAGCACTGCACCCCTTTCCTCAGCCACTCTCCCTGCAACCTTTGGGAAGAAAGATCATGCTGAAAATAGAGACATAGAAATTACTGCACAGAGCACACACTATGGAAATAAAGGTCATTTATTTTTTAAATACAGTAGTTTGTGAACA